ATAATTCAGACAAAATCCAATTTAATTCTATTAGAGGTTTAAAAAGTAATTTAGCAAAAAAATACTATATTTAAAGGAAAAAAATTTGCTCAATGAAATATGAAAAAATTTAATGAAAATCCTTATTGCAAGTTTTCCAGGTTTGAAAATCTTTCTGGTAGCAGGAAGTGGCATTTTATTGAAAATCGCCATTTTCAAAGAGAAGTCAGGAAAAAAAACATCCTTTCAATTCAGGTATTTCCCACAGGTTAATTGTATTTAGACCATTCTTGTGTAACTTTCTGAGAAGAAACTGCAATTCAAAGAAAGGGGTGAAGCAAAATACAGGTCATCCTTTTTACCTACTGAAATGTTACTGGTTTGGAAGAACTTTACAGAACAGGAGTATGAAGAGATAATTACTTGAATGACCTACTTCAATGAAATTACTTCCAAACAAAACAGCATAAAGGCCCTATTTAGGAAAATAATGGACTTTCAAATGTCTGCATTTGCCACATGCACAATTCCAGCTGTCCTCTTCAGTGTTGCTGACCAGGCACCGCACATTGCATCGCTGATGTCCTCCTACCACACAAGGAGCTGGAGGTAGAAGGAAACAAGGGTGCTAAAGAGCAGTAAATTGCATTCTGTAAAACTCATTGCTGTACTCCAAAAAACCACACTGGCATCCATGCTCAGAGTGCAGGATGAAAATGCAGCTCAATATTATTATCAGTGATCCTCTAAATCTACAACCTGTGCAGATTCCAGGTTTACTTAAGAATTAAGGTTTTTTTAATAGACCCTTTTCCATTCCAGATTCCAGATGATGCCAAACAACCATGTGTTGCATTTCTCCAATAAAAGGAGAGTAACCTCAAATTTAAAACAAATTATTCTTTGTGAAGAATCATCCAGATGTCTAACTTGCAGATCATCTGGTCTCTTCTTCCTATTTCTTAGGCAGCCCATCAGATTTCTCCTCAAATCCATTCTCTGCTTGCTTGCCTCTTTCATATCCTTCTCACTTCCAAAGTTCAAACATGCTGATGCTTGCACAGCATCATCTCCAACTAAATGCTCATCCATGCTTTGCCACTTCTCTTCCCACCTGCCAGGGCTGTTATTTTCTTACGCACTTACAGTATCTTCTCACACTGTCCCCTCTTAGAAAGCCTAAATAGGTTCTCTTGCTGTGCTGCTTTCTGCTTTTCTTACTATTATTTATTTCAGGCTTCCTTTGCCAGCCACTCACTTCCAGTTTACTCTTGCTTTACACTCCACCCAGGATAACACCACACCATACATTTATAAAATGCTAGAAAGAGGCTGACAGTCCAGTACTGCAGTTTTTTTATTACAGGCTTTAGGACAATAACTTTGTCCTGTAACTGTTTATAAACTGCTATATTCACTTGCAGAGCTGGAGGCTCAGCAGATGAGGAGATTTCTGATCCAGTGTTCAGAGTCAAGAGGCTCAAGTATTCCAAGTAATCATATGAACTGCATGTGAAATTTTGAGTGTCAGCAAACCTGACCTCCTAATTATCTGCAAGTCGATAGTAAGAATCCTTCTCTCTGCAGTTATATCCATAAACAATACTTACCAAGCTGTGAAAACATGCTTTCTTGAGAGGATTGATTTATTCTACTTTTTATTAATTAATCCTACTTGACAAATGCAACTAGAACTCCACTTGAAGGATCAGGCTCAACAAAGCAAGCCTATAGCTTTCAACTGGTTTCAACATTTTTTGCCATCACTTGACGTATTGGGTTTGTGTGGACAGGTTCTGGTAGTCAGGGAGTTACAGAGGTGGCTTCTGTGAGAAGCTGCCAGAAGCTTCCCCCATGTCTGACACAGCCAATGCCAGCCGGCTCCAAGCTGGACCCACCACCGGCCAAATCAGAGACAGAGGTAGCACCTCTGGGATAACATATTTCAGAAGGGGGGAGGAAACTGTGGTGGAACAACAGAGAATATGTGAAAGCAACAACTCCACAGACACCAAGGTCAGTGAAGAAGGAGGGGGAGGAGGTGCTCCAGGCACCGGAGCAGAGATTCCCCTGCAGCCTGTGGTGAAGACCATGGTGAGGCAGGCTGTCCCCCTGCAGCCCATGGAGGTCCATGGTGGAATAGATGACCACCTGCAGCCCATGGAGGACACCACACAGGAACAGGTGGATGCCTGAAGAAGGCTGTAACTGCATGGGAAGCCACGCTGGAGCAGGCAGGACCTGTGGCACCATGGAGAGAGCCCACGTTGGAGTAGGTTCGCTGGCAGGACCTGTGACCCTGTGGAAGGGACCCATGCTAGAAGGGAGGGGTGGGGTGAAGGTATTTTAAGATATGGTTTTATTTCTCAATATCCTACTATGATTTGATTGGTAATAAGTTAAACTGATTTTCAGAAGTTGAGTCTGTTTTGCCTGTGATGGTAATTGGTGAATGATCTCTCTCTGTCCTTATCTCGACCCACAAACCTTTTGTTGTATTTTCTGTCCTCTGCCCAGCTGAGAAGGGGAGTGATAGAGTGACTTTGGTGGGCACCTGGTGTCCAGCCAGGGACAACCCATCACACTTGAAAAAGATGCAAACTTGCCAATGATCACAGTTCAACGAGACCAGTAACTACAACAACAGATACTCCCTCTCCCAGGACTCCACTTAGTAGCTGTGCCGTTCAGCATTGTAAGTGATGTAAAACCTAGAGTATCTGAAGATAATCAGGAAACAAGACAGCACACAGATGTTATTCCTAAAATCTCTCATCTGTAAAATTTAAACATATTCTAATTAAGTAGGTTGTTTACTAGAATTCAGAATTTGACAGAAGCCAAAAATTCCTTGAACAAGAAGCCATTTAATGAAGCATTGAAAATACTTTTGAATAAGAAACAAAATTGATCTAATCTCTATCTAATAATGAAGATTCTAATAATGCATTTCTTCGCTATACAGCACATACACTTAAAGACTACATCTTTTATGAATGGAGTACACTGCTAATGTGATACTGCAGTCATTAATACCCATCCTGTGTAATAGATCATGGGATTTCAGGGGCATAACTATAGTACACCCTTAAGAAGTACTGTCGTCTGTACAACCCACCGCTACATGAGTAATGGTAGCAGAGTTAAGGAAGGTCTCCATGTGCTTATTTCTACAAAGCTCTTTCCAGGCATGTAAGTGAACTACAGTAGCTGCCAAAATGGTATTAGTGTCAAACTTTATCTGCTCATCTTGAATTGCTTTTTATACATCATCAGGATGCAGCAGGAACCGAAGAAAATCCTTACTTCTTTCTGCATCTTAATGGCAGCTTAATACTTGGAGACGTAATCATCAGCAGAAAGAGAGAGAGACAGTAAGAGTGCATACAGATAACAACAGCTAAATAAATCAGAATTAAAGACACATTTGGTCCTTCACTTCATCTCCTCTACTCCTATTACGTAAGCGTGTTTCCTGCCCTGCAGTTCCTAGTGGCAGCCAACACAACGATCATCCCACTTGTTCACTTGGGACACAACCAGCCCAGCAGCACTCATGCTCAGCACATCTGACATAACCAGGTGGGACTGGAAATAACATGACCCATCAACCTCTATCTGAAGACTAATGACACCATGTCTCTGTGGTCTACAGCTGAAGATATTAACTCTACAGCAGCAGTAGTTCTGCCTATGCAAAAACTGTGGGAAGACAACGAGAGGCACAGAAGTTTTAAGTATTCACCAGGCAGCTGTAAAACCCTTAGAAAGTGAGAGTACAGATGGCAAAAAAATAACTTATTTAGAATTGTTTAAAGGAAAGTTTATGAGCAGATGTGTAACTGAATTTGCAGAAGTAAAAAAGCAAACATACCATTGTGTAAACAGGTAGATTTCCCACTAATGGGGCATGAAGAAAAGTAGCTTAGTAGAGATAGTAGGTTTATCCATCAACTTAGCATAAATTGTCATAATTAAGAAGATACAAATCATTTGCACTCATTGAAGTTCTGGTCCAAAGTAATCTGAGCTTTCTCTCCCCCCTTTCCACAGGCCAAACTTTAATTAGAAACCAAAACAAACTAAAAAGAAACCAACTAAAAATCTAAATTAAAAAATAATATATATATATATATAAAATCTACATTTTGTTCCTTGAGCCTTGAAAACATCTAAGTTTTATAAAAAAATCAATCATAATCCCAAACTGATTTGCTATTGTGCTGGAATTTTTATTAATACTTCCTTGCAACTTACACAACTCAAAACATGAATAGGGTTAGGCTGACAAGAATAAACAGCCTTCTTTTTACTCTGTGCCTTCAAAATACTACAGATGTTTCAAAATCGATTTGGGCTTGTTGATTTCCAAGTTATTCACAAACAAATACAAATTTTGGCAGCAGAGAAATTCTAAACAAAACATACAAAGCAACAACTTTCAAAAAATGTAGGTCTTTCCCAAACCATATTACACTTCTGAAGAGAATTTATAGTTCTTGTAAGGCTATAAGTCAGACTGCATTTTCAAATCTTACTGCAAAATTCAAAAACATCCACTGGAGAACATGCTCAGCAGTCTGCAGCTCCAGTGCTGAATTCTGTTCTCACTGCATTTCACCAACTAAGGCTTCTGCTCCCAGTCCTACTTGTATGGATGCTGTGATCCCTCTGCCATCTGCACGATACCCCCAGGAGAGCAGAGTGGTGCTGATGGAAACAGCTTTATGAGATCTCATCCTTCCCCCACACCTGTGCTGTGCTTTGTGTCAACACTCGTGTCCTTTTCGAAAACAGAAAAACACGTGCATACATACACACAAGCAAAGCCTGCAGGAAGGACTGTGAATCAAAGAAGAAATGCATCAAACCTCCTGTTCCTTGGCACATCCAGCTTCCAGGTTAGCACTGGCTCTGGTCAGGGCAATTTTTTGCCATGTCAAGCCACATACAAATTTTAAACAAGCAAACTCCCAAATATGCATGCATATTTACACATCTATGCATATATGTTTGTGCAGATAACTTAAAAGTTAGGAGGTGGTCATTTTTTTTTCTTCCTTCAGTGATTTCTGGCATTCTTTGCCACAAATAGAAGGTGCAAGACACACAGAAAAATCAGATTGCTATCCATTTATAACTCCTTCCCTGACCTTAATCAAGAGATAGCATATTAGTAACCTCTCTAAGACCATCAACTTTATACTTGTAAAATGACCTTTGAAATTGTGTGCAATTACTTGCATTTGCAATTGCCACACTAAGCAGCAATCAAGCTACATCTGTACCTTACCTCACCAGACATCACCACTGATTGCAGTGGCATGGGCAAACAGCTGCATTTAGAGTTTTGTGCTCAGAATATTGGAACCAATGGTGAAACTCAACTAAAAACCAAGTTGCCAATAGGTCAAAATCAACAGGCTGCAGTTCCACTGCCCAACTGTGCTGTTAACTTTCCTTGCCCACCCGGAGCAGGCATCCCTTCTTACTCAGGGTTCTAAAAAGCAGGAAGGGAATCGATGTTTCATTACAGGGAAATATCAGCACAAGGGCTAAAGACTGAATGGGGTTAAAAAAGAAAGCAGAAAGCCAGAGTCTCTTCCAAACATTTCTGTAAACGTCACCATTGAGCATTCCCTTTTTAGCAAGGCTGCTAGCCATGTAACAGGGAGCCCTAGGGTTTTATCTTCTGACTACACACTAAACACACTTAGGTATTTTAGATTTGCTTTACAGCCATTAATACAACACCACTACATACAAGGAAACACAACTCGTTAGAAGAGCATGGGAGGAGAAGCCGTTAAAACTTTGATACAGAGACCCACGGAGACCGTGTGCAGAAGCATCACTGTTTTGGCCACCCCTCAGAACTAACTTCTCTAGAAAAGGAAGGATCTCAAAATCCATCTCTAAAAAAGTCACACCAACTAGCCACTCATAAATGTACTTTCTCCCTTTTAAAGTAGAAAACTGCCACCCTGAAGCTAAATGCAACCCCTGAGGGTCACAGGGAAAAAAGGAGGATGATATGATGCTTTCTGCCATGCTTTGAAAATCCCTGATGATCTACACATGATTATTCCAGAGAGAGTAATTCTGCTCCTTTATTTATTTATTTTTCAAGAAGTTGAAGAATGTGGAAAGACATGATGAATCAAAGTTAAGTTTCCAAGAACACACATATACTACAGAGAGCAGAGATGGGAACTTATTTACAGCCTTCACAAATATATTTTATTTTTCTCCATCCTGACAGAGGCTCAAGCTGCCAAAACTCTGAACTGGATTTTGTACTCCCCTCAGTATATTCAGCTCAAAAATCTCAGGTGTGTTCAGAAATGGGTTTTGAACCAGGCCTGTACCTAACAGTTATTAGCAAGCAAATTCGGAGAGCCTGCTCACAGATCTCAGCCACAATAAAACACTAAAGAGAAAAAGGCAAGGTAAGTGACCAGAGGAATTGACCTCAACTCCAAAACTTTTCAGTGCACTGTAGTAAGTTGCGTTTTCAGTGATAAAGACCTTGCACAGTGGTGCTAAAAAAGCCCCACTCTAAAAGGATTTCCCTAAACACAAAGCTTTTCAAGTCCATTGTTTAAGTATCACTGTAATTCAGACTGCAATCCATGCTCTTATTAAAAAGAAGGCCCATAGTCATTCTCAGAAGGCAAACATTACGCAACCTTGGCAGCACAGTTTAAACAGAAAAAAAAAAGGTGAAGAGAAATGACTGTTAGGAAAAAGATATCATCATAGACTGATTATGAGGAATAGAAGTCAGCCCACAAAACCCTGCTTGATCCCTGCAAGGTGTAAGTTTCACAGATAACAGTTAAAATAAGGAAGCAAACATAGTGTTGGAAATTCTCATAAAATCCATAACACAACCCAAGCAGCATCCTTTCAAGTAGCATTTTTTACTGTAAATACCAAAGGAATTAATAAAGATCAGCCCCCTCATTTAAAAACATTACAGTATCCTAGAGCAAGAAAGGTCATGTTTAAGGGGAATATTTTACAGCACCACAGAAAAACAGAATAGAGAAGGGTAGGGGGAGAGGCAGAATGCCCTCTGAGAAAGTACCTCAAGAACATAATGCCCCTTAGGATGACAGAAGGCCCCACAAAATGAGTTTTGGCTTCAGCCCTTACCATGAACTCCTCTAGGGTCTGGTAGGTTTTCCCTCGAAACTCGCAGTAGTTCTTCCTCTCCTTGCACTGCGGGCAGCACTGCGTGGTGTCCACCTGGATGCAGCGAGGGTGGAGCCTGGGGCACTCGGGCTGGATGCACAGCGGCCCCTCTTCAGTGCAGAGGCAGGGGCAGGCCGAGGGGCCCGGAGCAAACTTCTCCCCGATGGCGTAGACGAAGCCGCTCTCATCCACGCAGCCCTTCCCACGGTAGTCCGGATAGGCGTACTCCTCCGGGGGCTCGGGAGTGATGCTGGCAACAGCTTCTGGGAGAGGGGAATCTTCAGTCACCCGAGGTTCCTCGGGAGCGGCGTCCCTTTGCTCTGGCACTTGAATGCTCCCGGATTTACTGCTCGTCCCCTGGCTGTTCCAAGCCTGCTTTTGCTTAGTCCAAGACTCCTTGTTGGAGTAGTTCCTGTTTCCTTTGCTCTTCCAGTCCCTGCTGCCCTCCTCCCTCCCGCTCCTGCCGATCTCATTCATTTTCCCCGGGCCTGTCTGGCTGTCCCTTGTAGATGTGTGATCCCTCTTTTCCTGGCTCGCTTTTATCTCCTGTTTGTCTTGAGCCTTGGCCAGTTTTTGTACAGGTATGGTGGAGCTACACAGGGCAACCATGAGGCAGCAGGTTACGAGAAGAGAACTAGAGAGAGCTCCAATTGCCATTGCAGTGGAGCTGGGCATCACCTATTGCATCCCACAGGGGACACTGCATTCACATCGGAGGGAAGCGCTTCGCAGATCCACAGTCCCTAGGAGAAGGATTAGGAACACTTCAGTAGTGTCTGCACTTCCCCCCCACACCCCTCCACCGATGCAACACCTCAAGCAATATGCAACCTGACTCAGTAGTTTATGCAAAAGGCAAACAACAGCCTGGTGCTGCATGCCTCCTCCTCCTCCTCCGCCGCTCTGCCAAGCCTTATAAATAGCAGGGCTCTGGACACGGACCGGGCACCGTCGGCTCCGTCAGAGCAGCACGCAGAACTCCGGGGAGTCAGGGTTTGCAAAGGCAGGTGCATGCAAAAACCAGAACATCTGGGGGTTATTTTTCCTGTCAAATGACAACACGTGAAGGGGACGGATACATGCTGAATTAAATGGAGCTTCCCCAAAACACAGCAGAGTCCGGAACAGAAATCAGCCAATTGAGTCCTATTCGCTGACTGCATGCACGATGATTTTCATTAACCTCTTATTCAGTCTGAAGCGTGCCGCTGGGTGTTTTGGGGTATTTTTGGTTTTGGTTTTTGGGGTTTTTTTTTAATACCTACCAGTGAGCACATTTCTGTTAAAGACAACTGAAAAAAAGGACATTAGAGCCATCAGACCCAAACTACCTCTCTTCCCAACTACCTAAACGAGCACACACCACCTCTTTCTCCCCGTGTTTTAAAGGCAAAGCAAAGCCGATAAGAGTTTCCGCAGCAGAGGCTCATTTAACCCAGGTCCTCCAGGAGTTCAGCAGCGCTCCCGGCTCCTGTCCTTAAAACAGCGCACGCCACA